TTGATGAAGATACTGAACAGAACCAGAACCAGACCCAGAACTGATCCCTGCAGGACCCCACTCGTTATGCCCTTCCAGCTTGGCTGAGTACCAATGATAACTACTCTCTGGAAATGGTTTTCCAACCAGTTATGCAGCCACCATATAGTAGCTCCATCTAGGTTGTATTTCCATAGTTTGTTTATGAGAAGGTCATACTAGACAGTATCAAAGCCTTACTAAAATCAAGATATACCACATCTTCTCCTTCCCTCCTATCTACAAGACTTGTTACCCCGTCAAAGAAAGCTATTAGGTTGGTTTCACATGATTTGTTCTTGACAAATCCGGACTCACTGTTACTTATCACCTTATCTTCTAGATGTTTGCAAATTGATTGCTTGATTATTTCCTTCATTATCATTCCAAGTACTAAAGTTAAGCTGAGTGGTCTAATTCCCCAGGTTGTCCTTATTACCTTTTTATCGATCAGCACTATACTTGCCCTCTTCTAGTCCTCTGGAATCTCTAGTCTTCCATGAGTTTTCAAAGATAATCACGAATGGCTCAGATATCTCCTCAGTCAGCTCCTTGAGTATTCCAGGCTGGATTTCATCAGGCCCTTCCAATTTGAAGACATCTAACTTGTCTAAGTAATTTTTAACTTGTTCTTTTCCTATTTTAACCTTGGATCCTACCTCATTTTCACTGGCATTCTCTACACCAGATGTCTGATTGCTAGTAATCTTTTTGGTGAAAATTGAAACAAAAAGGCATTTAGCACTTCTGCCATTTCCACATTTTCTGTTATTGTCTTTCTCTTGCTTCTAATGCAGGGGTGGGCAAACTACGCCCTTCAGACATTTTAATCTGGCCCTTGAGCTCCCGCCGGGGAGCAGAGTCCGGGACTTGCCCTACTCTGCACAGCTCCCAGAAGCAGCGGTGTGTTCCCCCCTCTGGCTCCTACACATAGGGGCAGCCAGGGGGCTCTATATGTTGCCCCTGCCCCATGTGCCAGCTCTGCAGCTCCCATTGACCGGGAACAGTAGCCAATGGGAGCTGCAGAGGTGGTGCCTGCGGACGGGACAGCACACAGCCGCATGGCCGCACCTCCACCTAGAAGCCGGGGGGACATGCCTCCGAGAGCTGCTTGAGGTAAGCGCCACCCAGAGCCTGCACCCCTGACCCTCTCCTGTGCCCCAACCCTGATCCCCCTCCTGCTCTGAGCCCCTTGGTCCCAGACCAGAGAACTGTCCTGCACCTCAACCCCTCATCTCCAACTTCACCCCAGAGCCCGCACCCCCCCCTGTGCCCCAACCCCGTGCCCCAGTCCGGAGCCCCCTCCCACACCCTGACCTCATTTCTGGCCCCACCCCAGAGCCCTCACCCTCTCCCATACCCCCAACCCCCAATTTTGTGAGCATTCATAGCCCTCCATACAATTTCCATACCTAGATGTGGCCTCAGGCCAAAAAGTTTGCCCACCCCTGTTCTAATGTATTTGTAGAATGTTTTCTTGTTACCTTTTATGTGTCTAGGAAATTTAATCTCATTTTGTGCCTTGGCCTTTCTAATTTTGTCCCTACATGCTTATGTTGTTTTTATATTCTTCCTTCGTATTATGATCTAGTTTCCACTTTTTTTGAGTTTCAGATAATTGAAGATCTCCTGGTAAGCCAGGGCGGTCTCTTGCCCTACTTCCCATCTTTCCTACGCAGTGGGATAGATTGCTCCTGTGCCCATAATAACATCTCTTTGAAAAATTGCCAAATCTCTCAAACTGGTTTTCCCGTTAGACTTGCTTCCCATGGGATCTTACCTACCAACTCCCTGAGTTTCCTAATGTCTGCCTTCTTGAAATCCTCTCTTTCTTTTGCTGTTCTCCCTCCTACCCTCCCTTAGAATCACGAACTCTACCATTTCACGATCACTTTCACCCAAGCTGCTTTCCATTTTCAAATTCTCAACTGTTCCTTCCTGTTTGTCAAAATTAAATCTAGAACATCCTCTCACCTGGGTGATTTCTCCACCTTCTGAAATAAAAAATGGTCTTCCATGCATTTCAAGAACTTATTTAATAATCTGTGCCCTTCTGTATTATTTTCCCAACAGACATCTAGGTAGTTTACGTCGCCCATCACGACCAAGTCCTGTGCTTTGGATGATTTTGTTACTTATTTTAAAAAAGCCTCACCTCCTGTGGCATTATATGATTAAAGTATTACCATTGTTGCTACCACTGTTGTATAATAGCAACAAATCTTGTGACAAAGTATGTCATGTAAGGTGTCAATGGAAAAGTTATGGTTTGCTGAATATGATTATCCTATTTGTATGCATGTATCATTTTTGTATCCGAGGTTAGGAATATTGTCTAGGTACCTGTATTTTAAATGTGTTTGCTCCTGTGGTAACACACACAAGGTAGTTTGCATCCAATCTAGCCAACACATTGTAAATGAACTATTCTAGGTGATGACCCATCAACAAACACAATGGGCCATGGAAGAAGCTTATCTCACCTGATGGATTTTCCTATGGATGTTCTAGCTAGAATATGGGTAATGGCTCTGCTATGACTCAGAGTATTCAAGGCATGTGACTAGATCATGTCGTATTGAACTCCATCTTATGCCTGTACTTTTCCACAAACTGTGCTGAGGGCTTTGCTTGGGACAATGAAGTTCCCTCCACATGGCAGAAGCTATAAAAGGCCCTGGAAACATCTCCATTTTGCCTCTTTCCTGCTCTGATCTCTGGACTATGGACTTGAGAGCATTTCTCAGCAAGGGCCTGAGGACGTTCCAATCATTTGGAAGCAACCAGAGACTCAAGCCAGCAGTTTATTCCATGACTGCTTCAAGCCTGATCCAAGAACTTTGTAATTATTGTATGTATTTGATTCCTTTAACCAATTTTAACTCTCACCTTTATTTTCTCTTTAGATATTAAAGGATTGGCAACAGCTTGATTATTGGGTAAGATCTGAGTTATACATTGGCCTGGGTACGTGGCTGGTCCTTTCGGATCAGAAGAACCCTTTGGTTGATGAAATTGGTTTCGTAACACTACTCATCATTAAGTCTAGTGTCTGGATGTTGCAAGGACACGAATACCTAAGGAGGCTGCATTTCTGACTTCTTGCTAGCCAGTGTGGTGAGACAGCAGTTTACTTTTGTGGCTGGTTTGGTATATTTTATGGAAGAACCACCACCAGTTTTGGGGTGTGTCTGCTCTAGTTCTAAGCAGTTTGTCCTGAATTTGGTATTCTCAGTTGTGACCCACTGAGGTATAGTGACACCCACCTCTTCCAGGTTAGGTGTTCTTTTGTAGATCCCTACCCATAACATTGCCCTTGTTTTTTTAAGCCCATTTATCCCTACCCAGAGATTTTCAATAAGTTTGTCTCCTATTTCCATCTCAACCTCCAGGCAAGTGTATATATCTTTGATATACAAAGCAACACCTCCTCCCTTTTTTCCCTGCCTGTCCTTCCTGAGCAAGATGTTTCCCTCTATACTAATATGCCAATAATGTGTATTACCCCACCAAGTCTCTGTGATGCCAGCTATGTCATAGTTGTGATTATTCACTAGTATTTCTAGTTCTTCCTGTTTATTCCCTCTACTTCTTGCATTAATATACAGACATCTAAGATACTGATTTGATTTCACCTCTGTGGTCCCTCTTGTCTCTCTTTTGTCCCTGCTATAATTGCCCACACTCCCGCCAGATTACCCAGGTCTGTTTTTGATTTACCTCAGGGTCTTTGTTTCCTGCCACCATCACACCTAGTTTAAATCCTGACCCACTAGGTTGGCCAGAATGTATCCAAATAGGCTCTTCCCTGCCTCGATAAGTGGACCCCATCTCGGCTCAGTCTTTCTAGGAAGAGCATCCTGAGGTCAAGAAGGCCAAAACCCTCCTGGTGACATCATCTGCACAGCCATGCAATCATTCACCTCCAGGATGCCTCTGTCTCTGCCTAGGCCCCTTCGCTTGACCAGAAGGACTGAAGAGATGACCACCCTGCACTCCCAGAGCCCGGTAGTCACTTCTGATCCACTCAGGCTCATACCTCACAGTATCACTAATGCCCATATGGATGAGTAGGATGGAGTAGTATCAGAGGGCCTTATGTTCCTTGACAATTCCTCTGTAACATCTTGTATATGGGTCCCTAGTAAGCAGCATACCTCCCAAGATGCCATGTCAGGCCTGCAGATGGGTTCTTGGGAGTGGTGGCTGCAGTCCTCCAGCCTTAAGGGTACAGAGCTTCTCCTCCACCACCTTTGGGGGCAAATCCTCATCTCTCGTTGCCAGGGCTGCATAATGGTTCTTCATTATTATGATTGGTCGATTGGGAGTAGGGGTGGAGCACAGCCTGCTGCCAGAAGTAACCAGGGGCTAGTATCCTCCCTGTGGCAGAGCCATATCTATCTCCCCCGGGGGCATGAAAGCAGTCCTCTAGCTGGATATCTTCCTCAGCCTTGGAGGTCTCCATATGAATATTTTTGATGAATTCCTCGTGCGCATAGATGCTCCTCAGCCTCGCCACCTCCTCCTGTAGCTCTTCCACCTGCTTCCTGAGAGACTCCACGAGCAGACACATTTCACACTGGATGCCACCCCCAGCCTGGCTTTTTGTGACTGGGCAATGCAGGCCACAGTCTCTGCAAATCCACAACAGGTGCGGAAGTATCCCTGGTCAGATTCTCTGTCTGGATTCAGGTGCAGGTGGAGGAGACAAGAGCAGCATTGGCACTGGCCATGCGGCCTTCCCTAATCATAATAGGTTTCCCTCCCACAAACTCCCTTTTGCTGTCCCCTAGATCACTTGGCCTCTGGCTTTTAAGTCCTTCTCCTCCTAAGTCAGCCCTATCCCCTCATTAATCACACACAGTGGGAGGGTGATCACAAGGATGATCCAGGGAACAAAGGCTCAAACAGTTCCCAAACTCAATCGCAACAGATACTGTAACTTTAACCTGAAGGAGAAAAAACCAAACAAGCTCACTCACCCCAAACTTAGCAACTGCACCTTGTTCAGCAGGGGGATCTCCTTTTCACCCTCTCGAATTCCCATGGTTGCTGTCTCCTGTTCATTTCACCTACATGCTGTAATAGGCATTTTATTAATATTTTAATTCTATTTTTCCAAAAGTAAATAAGCCAACTAGACCAGACACATATCAACAGTGACATAAAATAGCAATTAGCATCTCAATTAATTTAAAATAATTTATCCACCGGTAAACTAAGGATGGTGGGCAACTGTACCTATGTATGGGCTGATATAGCAAGCAAATAGGGATTTGGATATTACATGTAGATCTCACATGTACATTAATTTTAAAACCTAATGCAACATGGGTCTTATTAAAATAAAAGCAAATCACTAGACCATCAGCTCTCTATGATCAGCTGAACTGCTGCATTATACTTGCATGCAATATCCAGCAGCTTTGTCCAAGTTGTGGAAAACGGATCAGTTTTGCTTAGTGAATGTGACCGCCAAGCTTTCCCATTGTAATGTTTTCAATAGAAGCTCAAATCAGTTTGACAGGGTGGAGGGAAAGAGGTTGCTCTGACCCACTTCTCCATGTTGCACAGTAATTTGGCAATGCTGTGGTGTGTTGTGTGTGTGTGACAATATTGTTTATAGCACAGCTTCTCTTTTCTAATTTTTCCTTTCATTCTTGCTCACTGCTTTGTTTAAATAATCCACAGCTATTCTCATGGCTTCAGGAATGGGCTTAATGATCATGAAGGCTATTTCTCATACCCATTCAGCTGGTGGTGTCTTTGACAGAGGCCTTTTCTGCACTCTAAGAAGAAAATCTGCCTAAGGAAGCATTCTGCTTTTTTGGTCTCAGGTCCATTTCGGAAGTACAGTTTGAGTTTCTCTCTGATGCTTTTGCCCAAGAATCTCCTCATGACCTAGGAGAAACTTTTTGAAAGGTTAGACCCTCAATGGAACCTAAGGTAACTTAGAAGACGCTTTCAGCCAGTGCTCATGCTCCCTGCTACTTCTCTACATCACATCACTTAGTGTCCAGAAGAGAGATTTTGTGCTTTACAAGAAGAATGAACAGAATGACAATATGCCAAACAGGGAGAGTAGCACCATGATTGACCAGCAGACACAGACTGAAAGGAAGTCAGACAGAGGTGGCAACAGGAGAGACTGAGGGAGCCCCACATCAGAATATCCCATAGTGGCGACAGCACGTTCCTGAGAGGCGTGGGAGACTTCTCTTCAAATCCTCTCCCCTCCTCAGGCAGAGGGGGAAACTGAAACCAGGTCCTCTACATTCCAGCTGAGTGCTTTAAGCACGGGGCTCAAAGTTAAAGTGGGCACCATCACCCCCTCGCCTGCCCTGTGTTTTGTGGAGAGCGATGTATGTGCCTAACTCCTCCCTCATAAGAAATGACTTGGGTGTCTATGCTACCTTCTTCCAGTAGAGGGGGACCCAGTTGTGGATCGCTAGCAGAGTTAAGCACCGCCCTGCACCCTGGATTTAGGCACCTATCTTGGCAAGAGCGGCAGGGCTTAGGACCCTCTCATCAGCAACTTCCATTGGCTAGTTTAGGCTTCACCTGGTATTCCGGCTATTGTAGATTGTATTCCAAGGTGCTTCTCTCTCTCCCCATTCAGTGCATAAGGTGCCTAGGGGCCTAATTCAGGCTTTGTGAATTCCAGTGTGGTTCCTGCGGTTTTCTAGACATTGCAACGCATAAGCCTCTTTGTGGATCCAGGCCTCCCTCCCTTGGAAAATCAGGGACTGACATGGGTGTGGCAGGGCAGGTGAGAAATGCACTTCTGTGCAAGCGCTACAGTAGTCCAGTCCCAGCAAATACAGACATTGAGAGATTTGTGACAAATTACTGCTAGAAGTAACCACGCTACCAGGTATCTGTACTGGAAGGAAGCAGACCACAAAAAAAAGAGGAGGGCTAAAAACTGAGAAAATTGAAAGAGATGATTAAGGGGAAAAAATTAAAAAGATGGCAGATCAAACTAAAAATAGCCCTTTTGACAGTTAAAGGAAATTCATTTGACAGGGTACCGTTTCTTTCTTCAAGAGTGGTTTGTTATGCAACAGATGATACTGAAACCAGCTCCTCTTATCTGAGCTGTCAGTTTAACTGACAAAAAGGAGCTTGTTTTAACATTACTGCAGCTCCAATAAGTTTAAACGTTTGTTTTTCAAGCATGTTTATTTCAGGGGGCAGCCCAGTAATTGAATGGACAAGAGATTAAGGTTCATGTTCTGCAAAACATTTGCTTTCATAAGCATTCCTTAAACTTTTATCTCTTTATTAAGATGTTAAGCCCCTATTCTCTATCCCTGTCAGACTCTCCCAGGAAGGGGACTGCTGTGACTGTAATGTGCAACAGAAAACTTGACACCCACAAGAAATTCGGTGTATGGAGAGTAGGAAACCACTCTGACCACTGAAGTCTGCTTTTCACCCATTAAGGCAGAATCACGTGAAATATAGATGAACCTTAAATGTAATATCCTTCTGGACACTGGTGAAAATGAAAGAATAGTCCAAGTCACTTTATTTTGTACTTGTGGAGGTTAGTCCCATTAGAACGCAGTACAAAATAGGTTTAATATGAACACAGTCACCTTGACAAGTCCATATTTTTTCCAGCCTTATCTTTGCTTATTTTAGTTGTAATTGTTGGAGAAGTGGGGGGGAGAGGATTGGATAGCTCAGGTGAATGATAATGGATATGCAGAAGCTTTCACCTCTAGGTCTAATGTAGACGGGATCAGAGGGGAAGGATAGGCTTTGAAAGACCCCATCTCTTGCTTTTTCCTCTTAAAAAGAGGGTTGTGGGGGATTAGGCTACTAAAAGGCCTGTCATCAACCCCCTTGTAAAGATGATTGAGGCAGCTCACCTTGATCTCCACTGAGGGTGAATTCCACAGCCATTCACCACTCTTCCCCTGGTCCGCACAGGCTGTGTCTTGCAAACCCTTCATAGAATCGTAGGACTGGAAGGGACCTCAAGAGGTCATCTAGTCCAGTCCCCTGCACTCATGGCAGGACTAAGTATTATCAGACCACCCCCGAAAGGCGTTTATCTTGCTCTTAAAAATCTCCAATGATGGAGATTCCACAACCTCCCTAGGCAATTTATTCCAGTGCTTAACTACCCTGACAGTTAGGAAGTTTTCCCTCACGTCCAACCTAAACCACCCATGGTGCAATTTAACCCTCAGAGACTAACAAGAACAATCTTTCTCCCTCTTCTTGTAACAACCTTTTGTGCACTTGAAAACTATTATGTCCCCTCTCAGTCTTCTCTTCGCCAGATTAAACAAACCCAGTTTTTTCAATCTTCCCTTGTAGGTCATGTTTTTTTAGACCTTTTTGTTGCTCTTCTCTGGACTTTCTCCAATTTGTCCACATCTATCCTGAAATCTAGCACTCAGAACTTGTCACAATACTCCAGTTGAGGCCTAAAGAATCCCTATTGATCACAGTTGTTGATGTATGCTGTAGAGGAGATGACTGGCTGTTTTTAAGATAGTTAGACCAATGCCCATTCAGGGATTTAAAGGTAAAGACCAGGACGTTGAAACAACTTTGAAAGTGGACAGAGAGCTGGAGTGCATTGCAGAAATCAAGTATGATCCGTTTCTATTGGTCAGCCATTCACTGAAGTTTCAAGTGACTTTCACTATTAGTCCCAGGTAGAGTGTGTTGTAGTAGTTCAGTGTGGAGAGATGAATCTCCATGGCTGAGAATGTATCTGAGAGGAAAGGGCACAGTTTCACTGCTAGTCAGTGATGAAAGAAGACATTTCTAGCCACTGTTGCTATTTGAGCATCCAGAGCTGTGATAATCCCTTAAGATTCCAAGATTGTGCATTCTTTTGGACACTAAAAGGCAGATAGTTACCTTCAGTGCACAAGAGCTCTCAGCTCACTAATTCCTCAGAATGTTTCCTTCTTTCTATGGCCACTCTCTTACCCGTATCACCTCTGTTGAGGCAGCTGTCTGTTATCTTTGTGCCAAAGCAGCCCAAGACAGCTGAGGGCGGGGGTGGGATCTGGCTTGTAATCTTTAATTACATAATCATAGATTCTCAGCAAGATTCCTGCCTCATTCAGTACATAGGTGAATGCCGCACAGTGAACTATATAGGTCAGCCATATTTATTTATATACTTGCCATTCAATCAATCAGCGCACACCAAACAAGTTGTAAATTAGGCAGGGGTCCTGTAAACGTCTGCTTCATTCATTACTTTATTATCATGTACACCAAGGTCTCATATGATTTTCAACAGGTCACATTTGCTCTTGAAAGAGCTTGGTGCATACAAAAGCTTAATTTAGACAACCCACTGTGTAGCTAGGATGTGGCATTACAAGAACGTGCAAGCTATATAGTTATCAATATTTTCCTATCTCCCATATCTTAAAACTGACTGGTTCAAACATCATCACATTTAGTAAAGTATTTTTATACTGGCCACAAGCCGCATACTGAGGGAATGTCTACACCACAAAATTAAGTCAACCTAATTTAGGTCAGCATATAGCTGCCATGGTAATTACATCACTTGTGCGTGTCTACACTTTGCTCCTCGTGTTGGCCATGTGTGTCCTCACCAGGAGTGCTTGTATCGATTGCACTGTTGTTTGAAGGGCTAAAACAGGCTTATAATGGTAAGCAAGACTCAACTTTAAGGTTCAGTTACTGCTACCCCATAATAAGACTACTCAGGAACCTTTTTCCTACATTAAAACCTGTATTAATGGCACAGCAGCACCACTATAGTGAAGGTTGCATCCTGACTTCTGTGGACAGGTTGATCTTTTTAAGTCCTGTAAAATTGACATGCATAATTAGATTCCTTTGAAATTTCGTTTCCCTCCAGAGGGTACTGTGTAGGGGTATTGAACCAAATTTGGGGTCATTTGAGCTAACGGTTGCAAAGATATAAGCCCTGACAAAACTAGCCATTTTCAAAAAGAGATAATGTGGGTCAAAATGGTCTCAATTTGTGAAGTTTTACCGAAGGTAGTGCATGACACCCATTAAAGCTTTTAGGGACCCAAACTGAGAATAGTATTTAAGAAAATGTACAT